AAGAAGGATGTCTATTCATGCGTGAGATAATGGATATTGGGTACTTTGCTTTGTTCTAGGCATTGTGCTAAACCCTGGGGATACACTGGTGAACAAGACACGGTCTATGTTCTCAGGGAGTTTCTGATATATTTGGGGATTTATTCAAGAAAACAGGTAATTTCATTAGAATATAGAAAGTACGAGAGTGGGTAAATTATCAAGGAACCACAGGAGCACGAATGAGAAAAGGATAAAGGGGAGGTGGGAAGAATCAGAAAAGAATGAAGAGGATGAAAAAAAAAAACGTATTAATGCGAAAAAGGTATATTTTGCCGTAGACATTTAAACACAATACATTTTAAAGGACTGGCTATCGGTCCTGATAAGCAGCCCCTTCCCTCACACTAACAATAACATTTAATCACAAATATCGTCCAAGAGAAACAGAATAGTCCGTATTTTTGCCTGGGCCATCTGGGCTGAGAGGTCAAAGCCTTCCCCAAAGGCATTTGTTACCAGTTGTTAGAAAAGTTTCTTAGTCTTTGTTTAGGAATCCAAATGCACTGGCAGGGTCAGCTGCAGAAATCCAGATTCAGTCTATGTGTTTTATGCAGAAAGGGATTTAATACAGGGAGTTTGGTGCTGGAGAACTGGACTCTAGCAGGGCTTCTGGAATCAGGATAACTCTGCTTACCTGGCTCTACAAGGAGGCTGCTGCCTTTGCGTCACTCACATGGGCTGCCTTGGGACCTGCTAAATACGAGGCAGGAAACTTAAATCTACCATTACCATGTGATCTTAGGCAGTTTATTTAATCCTTCACTACAAAATGGGGATACATACTGTAAGTACCTACCTCAAAATCTTATTGTAAGGATTCCTTGAGCTAATACAGCTAATGGTCTTAGAACAGTGTCCAACATCTTATAAGCAGCTATTTCTGCTTAGAATCTGTGCAAAAAATAGGGCCCTCTATTGCAAATCTCTATGATATTTAATATGTAAAACCATTAATAATAACTTGAAACACTAGCTCACATCAGTACTGGCTAAACTTCTGTCATCGTACATTTTGTACGGCACATGCAGAGATAAGTTTCTCAAGAAAAGATGATATTTTCTGGGTGGTACGTATTTCTTCTGGTGTATAGAATCCTACCACCTGTTCCACAGTTTATAATAGAGAAAGGATCTTTGTGGGTTGTGAAAATTTTAATCGGAAAGTTCTAACGAGGCTTACAGAAACAGAATACCTAAGAAACAAGTAATGTATTTTCTCTTGATTTGTTCAAAATAAAAATTATAGCTATGGTTTCCATACCATAATCTATAATAGAAGTGTGGACAACAAACACAGTATTGCTGTTAAGAGTGGAATGAGCAAGTGAGCCCATGACTTATTAAAAGAGAGAATCAGTATACTACCCGGGTCTCCTACATCCATCAGAAAAAAGATATGGCTTCCATTTTTCAGAGTAATTCACGCTTTCTGACCACCAAATCTTGGGAAAAAATCTCCCAGGATTCTCCCACTGTGGCTGGACCATGCATGGCTTTACTAAATAGCACGAGGCCGGGTGCAGTGGCTCATGCCTGTAATCCCAGCACTTTGGGAGGTCAAGGTGAGCGGATCACCTGAGGTCACGAGTTTGAGACCAGCCTGGCCAATGTGGTGAACCCCCATCACTACTGTAAACACAAAAATTAGCCAGGGGTGGTGTCACACACTTGTAGTCCCAGCTGCTTGGAAGGCTAAGGCAGGAGAATTGCTTGAACCTGGGAGGCAGAGGTTGGAGTGAGCCAGGATCACACCACCGTACTCCAGCCTGGGCGACAGAGCAAGACTGTCTGAAAATAATAATAATAAAATAATAATGATAATAATAATGTGACAGGTGATATAGGGAGAATCTACTTGTCTTTCTTATTACTAAGCCAATGATGCAGAAGCTCATTGTCTTGTAGAAGAAGGGACTCTAAGCATACAGCGATAGAAGAGCTCCTAAAAACCAATGCCTCTTTATCCTCTTCTGTGGCCTCTCCTTCATATGGTTTCTTTGGACACGAGAGTTCTTTCTGTGCCTTAACTGAGAAATACAGGTTCTGCTCTTTTAGATTCTAACAGGGTGCCTGATGTCAAGGAAAAACTTTAATTCTTCAGAGTTGGTATCCATAAATCAGCAGCTACACACTACACACCCCCCTCGACATCCAGCATTTTCACCCTCTTACAGTAGAACAGTCCTATTTGCTTTGAGAGCTCCAGGAGTCCACCATGCTGAAAGCATCACAACCCTGGCCTATGCTGGACATCCGACGGCTCACGGATGTGGCATGGCCCATACCCATCACTGCACCACAATGCTGTGCCACACTTGCGGCAGCATGAGTCTTGTGCCAGGGGAGGCAGCTGTGTGACTGTGGGAGCCACGGAGTCGACCTCTCCTCATTCATGAAATGACAGATGAGATGAAATCACCATGTCTACGTTTCTCAGCCTAGATCTTTGATTTGATCTCTGGCGTAGCACGGTAAATGCAGAAGATAAGCTACGAAGGACTTACACATTATTAACTTTTAAGATTCACAGACAGTTTCGGATTGGGAAGCTATTTTTGAAACGCTGTGCTGTGAAAGTGTTGGCATTTTTGCATTACATAACTTCACAGTTATATATGTGTAGCTACAATGAGAATAACAAACTGTCAAATTACGGTTCTAGGATGATGAGTTGTGATTACTTTTGTCTCAGTCAAAATGTCATGATAACACCAGATCTTATTCATTCACGGAGTTTCGTAATATCTGCTCTGGCTACCCACCCCCTCCTCTACCACCTTCTTCTTTTGTCCTTTCCAGTGTCCTGGTTGTCCTGCCTCTTCACCACCTCCTTCTCTTCTGTTTGAGTTCCTTGTCTGCCTGCCCCTGCCCCTCTCTCATTGTGACTATCTGGTGCCCTCTTTCTGCACACTAGAGTGAGCTTATCCACCCCCAAGGTGTCTGTTACCTCAAATCTACAACCCTAGCGTGGATCCCTGGCTGAGCTTCAGACCCATTCATTCATTCACTGTGGACGCACATCCCTCAGGTGTCCCACACTCAGTAATTCCACCTTGAGCTCATTACCGTCTCCCCAAACAGGCTTCTCTTCCAGTGGGTCCCTGACTTGAGGAACAGCATCAGCACTCACCAGCTGCAAGAAGACACCCTTGTAAGGAGTTGACCCAAAACTAAATCTGGGCTGGGCATGGTGGCTCATGCCTGTAATCTCAGCATTTGGGGAGGCTGAGGCTGGATGATCACTTGAGCCCAGGAGTTTGATTTGAGCCTGGGCAACATAGTGAGACTCCATCTTTATAAAAATCCAAACCAAACAACAACAAAAAAGAAAACCAAAACCAAACCAAACCAAACCAAACCAAAATCCTAGATTCAGAGCCCTAAACCTAATTGTCTCAGATATTAAACACAAAACACTCAAGATGAAGGTTGGAATGGGTGGGAGGGGACCGTGGCAACACTGAAGGTCACAGGCCAGTCCTGGAGGGGGTGGGGAGGTGGAGGGGGCTGCAGATGCTTAACTCCAGCAGATTAGAACCATGTGGTATCACAGGCTCAGGCTGCCAGATTGGAGGCTTTTGTCAAAGAAGCTAGAAAGTTTGGTTCCAACTTGAAACCTCTACATTCTAAGTGTGGATAATCAATCAAATTTAAAACAAAACAATGTAAATGAAACAAAATATGCTCATTGGGGTGTTATTTTGCAATCTCTGTTCTTGATCGATAATACCTACTTTTATTGAAGAACTGTTTTTTTTTTTTCCAGAAACAAATTAAATTTTAACTTTCAGAAATCCAGTTTAGTGAGTCACAGCTATTTGTGTAAAAATTTCAACAATGTACACATCTCCATCTTTAAATGAATGTGTGTATTATAGACATGCTAACTAAGCTGATGGAAAAACCTTTAAGAGACCCAAGAATATTTCCCCGAGAACTAGTTAGTCAGATAAGATCCCCTTTATTTTATTAGAAAAACCGTTGAGGCTTTAAACTACTCATAACAATCCATAACTTTCTGTGATGTTAAATCCGGTATTGTGTGTCTGAATGTGCAAATATTGCACAACTCAAAGTGAAGGCAGAAGGCCTGGCCTCAGATGGACCTGCGGTCTTCCGTGTGTTAGAATCTGTTGACTCTGGTGGCCTTCCAGCAATTACAACTTGGCTTTTGGGTAACACATCAATTTCCATGACAGCTGATTCTATTACATAAAATAGATGAAATACATTTTTCATTTAAATTGGTTTTCATAATTGTAAGATTCAGTTTCAAAACCAATCTATGGGAATGGTGAAACTTTCATAAAAATAATTGCCTCAGCATCCAACTTATTTGCATAATTTATTTTGTCTCCAAAGACTTTAGAAAATTCACATAGAACCATTTCTTCTAGTAAACTTTCAACTTTGGCACTTTCAAAATTTTGAATAAATCTCCACCTAAAAAGCAAGGCAAGTCAACTTTCCCCAGCACCATGCCTGTATGTATAATCCCCAGCTTGTCTGTTGAATACAAAGCAGTAAGAACGTTGGAAGAGCTGGTGAAGACTATGCTGGAAACTAAAGTGAAATTACCTCCACGTAGATGTGCATACATTGGTTAGACATATGGTGTTACTTTGTCTTATGAGCACACAGATTTCAAAACAGGCTTTTGATATTAACTTATTCACAAGTACAAGAGCTTCTGTCGTTGCAAATGATGATGTTTGCATTTAACCACACCTCACTGTACTCTAACTCATGATTTTCTTCCATGGAATAGACATGGCAAGAGAGGCCTTATTGTCCACTTTGCGGAAAAGCAAGGTCATGCAACAGTGGTCTTCAGTGTGTTCGAATCTGGCATATAACACAGTTGTCTGTCTATTTTAATTATATGGTAGAGGTTATTAAAATGCGACAGCCTATGTAAAAGTGAATGATGAATAACACACTTGGCACATTCTACTCACCAATGAGGTACATGCCAATCCAGTCCCCAGCGTCCACTTCCTCCTTTATGTCCCAGTGGATGACCAGGTCCTGCGAGTGCCCGATGGAGTAGTAGGAGCTGCTGACCATGAGCGTGGAGCGGCTGTCCGAGGTGACCAGGTCGGTGTCGCTGGTGGAGCGGGGAATGGTGACGCCATCATGGGGGCCGCCCCTGAGGTCCATGTTGTGGAACTGGTCAGGGTTGTAACTGTATCGGAGCGGCTCCTTGCACCGGCGTCGGCTCTGCGAGTTTCTAGAAGGAGACGCCATGGCGGCCAGGCCTAAAAACCTGTTCTGGTACAGATTCTGTGGGAGCAAAGAGACAGCGAGCAGGGTCAGGGCCCGCCGGCAACTCGGCTGCTGTCATCACACGAAAATGAAAGAACGATGTGCTGGGAGACACGCGCTGTGAGTGAGCTGCCCTGCTGGGCAGATCTGAAACATGGCATAGAGCATCTTCCTCGTGACAAAGGCTGCAGCTCTGGGTTCACACGGGGACAGCAGGAACAAAAACACGAGTGCACCAGGGTGCCCTTCATTTCCATACTCTGCTGGAGTCGCTGCCTCTCCAGGCTCTAACCCACTTGATCCCAGGACTGGGATGTGTAGAACGACCCTGAAGGTGTGAGTATTCCCCAACCAAATACCATCCCTCGAGTTCTCCAACATCAATTAGATTGGATCTGATTGTATCCTTCTTTAAGGCAAACAAATGGTTATCATTATTGACCTCTCAGCGGTCCCTGCAGCATTCAGGTCCCTACACATGGCCCAGAACTAGGGGTGGTTCCTGCTGGCTGAGGCAGCCACTTCTCCATTTACAACCTTTCACTCTACAGAATGCCTTTGGCCGTATGAAATTTCTACGAAGGACTTCAAATATCCTAGTACTCCTTGAACACCATGATTTTCAATAAAATCCAATCTCAAAGGACTGTATCTCTCTTGGATACAGCCAATGTTATTGTAGAAAACATTGTATCTGATGAGAAAAAGATGCATATTTGTATTGTTTACAACTTTGAGCACTTAAAATGAGCCAAGCTGATGCAGACCAATAACTCGTTTTGGAAACAGATAACTTTGATAACACAAAAGGACAGGCAGCAAATAGAACTCACCCACGGATTTGTTTTAGAAACAAGCATAGGTGATTCTGACTCCATCAAAGTATGCTAAAATTGGGTTTAAATGAACATTTCTGGGGGTTCTGGTTATTGGAGTTCATGTTGTTCTATACCTAGTTTTCAAGAAGGGAAGATTAAGCCCTAAAAAACTTGACACATGAAGTTTAGATCCCAGGAACTGTAACTTATTATGTACCTCAATCAAAGGCAAGCTATTGACTTTTTGTTTACCAGCCATGATATGCAGATTGCAGCAACAGTCTATTTTTTTGGTTACATCAATCTAGTTAGCAGTAATTTAGGCCCACACTTTTTCCATCCTCCAAGACCGGGACGTTGTAAAAAGTCTATTAGCCTGAGAAAGCACAGTGTTGGCATTCTGTGAGTCTTGGTCCTCTATGGCCATGGGGCAGGCAGGCCTTTTCATTCATCTGTGTCTCCTGTTTGCAATTCCTTTGGCCCTACTGGTGGTTGCTGTAGAATTATACCAGGCAGATAAGCCAGACTCCAAAAAGCATCTCATCAACCTATTGGAACCATGTTTATTTTTCCAAAACGCCTGTCACTACAGCAGTATGAAAATAGATGGACCATGGTGTTGCCTGGAAACCATGCCTCCTCTCAGGAAGACAGGCAAAGTGCTGGAGGCCAGGGAAGCAGGAACCACCCACCCATCTCAAGGCACCATGGCTATTCTGGGCAGTTCAGGGAGGATCTCAGTAAGCTGACACCTCTCCGGTAGGCTCTGTCCAGAGACCTTCGTAAAATTCCCAAAACAGACAGGCTTCTGCAAGAGCACAGGGTTTGTTTAGTTCCCATGTACTTTAAGTGGACTCATATCATGTTATAGTATTACAGAGATTCAAAACTACTTGGAGTTAAGTGTAATAGTCAAGTACATAATTATGAATTACACCATGATCAAAGCTGAGGAGGCAGCACCTACCTGCTTCCCAGCTACGGGTATACCCCTGGATGATTTAACCTTTCTGGATCTCAGTTTCCTTCTCTGCAAATGGACTGTTCTCAGAATTTAGTGAGACAGTGCAAGTCAAGTTCTTCGTATAGTAAGTGCTCAATAAATATAAATCTTCTGCTAAGATACTACTGGTAATGCTTTAGGAAGGAAAACTCACTGAGACATAGGGTGTGGGCACTTGGCCAGGCTCCATCACTAAACAGGCTTCCTTTATGTCACCCCAGAGTCCTCACAGTTAAGTTCATGCACTGAATTCAAGAAACCCTCAGGTTTTCTTACAAAATCAAAGTGGCAAGCATTAAACAGCCTAGTGTATTTGTAAAGGTGCTCTATACACTAGTGTTCAGGGGAGAGGCTCCTTTATTTGTAAGGTTTATGATTAAGATGTTTTTGCCTTAATGTTGAAGAGCCTAAGATAAAGGTTTTTTTTTAATCTACGTGGTTTCCATCAGGGCCTCAAAAGGATTATAGGATGTTTTTCTTTTGCTGAAGACAACAATTCTACTATTGTATTTTTATCAAAATTCCCTGGAAACTAGACAACTCTCCTGAAACTGTCAAATTATGCCCGTGATCACTGTCCGCATGGTGAGAGGAAAGGTAGAGAAGGAAATATTAGTCAAAGAGGACTGGATTGGAACGATGACATTTGTTTGGGATAAGCAGGGTAGCCCCAAAGCCGTCCCTCGCACCCCACACTCTCCCACCACCCTGTCTTTGCACACATCCTCCCCATTCCTACTTGCAGGCAGGATCTGCACTTCTGCATCAGAATTATGCTCCGGTACCAACTCTGCTGTAATTGCCCCTTGCCTCCTTCCCATTCCTAAGAGTGGAACTTTCTGCTCCGTGATGCACAGGAATCCCATTCCCCTGCAGAGATTCTTAGACAGTGTTGCTAGTTGACCTGTCCACGTTCACTCCTACACTGTGAAGTTTTCGCCTCTATATAGCCCCTGTACCTGGCATAATTCCCGGCACAAAAAACCCCCCAGTCTTTAATTTATAGGAATCATTTTACTCAATGATATCCCTTCTTGTTCCAGAAAGAGTTTAAGATGGCTTATAAAACTAGATAAAATGATGAGGAGCCGTAGTTCAGGCTTGTAATCCCAGCACTTTTGGAGGTTAAGGTGAGTGGGCCACCTGAGGTCAGGAGTTCAGGACCAGCTTGGCCAACATGACGGAACCCGGCCTTTACTAAAAATACAATAATTAGGTGGGTGTGGTGGCGTGGTGCCTGTAATCCCAGCTACTTGGGAGGCTGAGGCAGAAGAATCACTTGAACCCGGGAGGCGGAGGCTCAAAAAAAAAAAAAAGAAGAAGAAGAAACACAGAAAGATGTGATAACTTAGTAGTAGCTGGTACAAAGAAAGAAGAAAAGGAAGATATGAACACAAAGTTATGTAGGAAGTAGGCAAACATAAAATTATATTCCATCATGTCCTGAACAGGTGTTTTTATTAAAAACCCACAATAGCTGCTCCTTTTTATGTTTAATTTCCCAGTTTTATTGAGGAAAATTGACAAATAAAATTGTATGATTTTAAGGTATACACCGTGAAGATTGTATATATGTGTGTGTGTGTGTGTGTGTATGTGTGTGTGTGCATATATATATATATATATATATATATATATATAAATGATGACCACAATCAAGTTAGTTAGCACATCCACCCTCACCTAGTTACCCCATTTTTAATTGTATTTTGGTTTGGTTTGTGGTGAGCACATTTGAGCAAAAGTCAGCAGTTGCTTCTTGAACACAGCAGGTGGATAGAGCTGATTGCTCAAAATGCAATTCATTTGTGGCCAGGTTTCTCCCAGGCATTCACAAACGTTTCTAACATATACTATAGACTCATCAGGCTAGAAGAATTTAATCATTCTCTCTTCACATCTAAACTGTGGGAGATAGACGAAGCTCTGTCTTGTTTTTAAGTAGCCCTGGATAAAAGGCCACTCTCTTCCTAGACAGTGATTCCAATGTCTTACAACTCTGCTATTCTTCCTCATCTCTAAAACCAATCTCCCCAACAGGAGACCTCCTTTCTCTTTCTTCTCTGCAGAGGGTGGCCCTCCCGGTCTCTGTATGTGTGGGAAATCAGTGGGTATCACTAAATTTCTCTCAGCCTTTTCCCCAACCCACTAATAACTTGAGTATCTTTCATCTTCTTTTCCCTTTGGTGGTGGACAATATGAGCTAACAGGAGGACCACAGGAACATCAGCAATACTTTCAGTAACACTGTAATTTTCCAATTATTGGTTGTGATCACATGTCCTTAGTTATGGGCTATGCCAAGCATAGATTTTAGTTGACCTTTGAAAAAGTGGGTCTGATGAGCGAGCCCCTGAGAGCAATTTAAATACACTGTACAAAGTGCCCTGCTTCATAGGGAGTAAAATGCCATCTGCTGTTTTTTGTTTTTCCCCTATTTGTAGCAGAGGACCCACTGATGTTTTGTTTATTTGTTTTGCTTTCCAACTTAAATAATATTGTAATTGTTGAAATGCTTTGAATTAAGTGATATGCTTAAACAAAGGTTGTTTTCTTTTTTTTCAAATCTTGGAACAGGCCTTGTGGGTATAATATGTTTTAAGATATTCTCATGGAGTATAGCACATTAACAAAAACAAAACCTGTAAAATAATAGAATCTTAAAAGCAGAAAATCATCGCTTCTAGGAAGGGAACATGTTATTATGCATGGATTTTTTTTTTTTTTTTAAAGAACCCGGAGACAAAAGATTCTGCTCTGTCAGTTTCTATCTAACAAAGTAATTAACAGTGTTTCTGTCTTGGAATATAAAACCATGAGTGCCATCTCAGAAATGAAAAGAAGGCAGACAAAGGTATGTCTATGATAGAGAAAATAACTCTTAAACATTGCCCCTATACCAAGGAATCAAAAATTGAAATACACAGCCCTTGAAGGAAACTTCATTAAAGTACACAAGATGAGGTTATAGGAAATGGCATTATTTAGTTGGAAGAAAGAACGTAATACATGTTTTAGTTCATGAGCAGATTTTACTTTGATCGAGTAGACGCCTGCAGCTTTTGCTATCCAGCACTCAGCTTTGTTATGACACCAGGGGGGTAATGGAACTTTAAAAAGAAAAAATCAAAACTTGTCATTTTTCTACAAAGGATTTCAGAAAATTTACAACCCAAGTCATGCATAATAAAATAGGA